GTAATACAAGCCCCCCCCTAAAAATTTTGAACACTCGGACAGTTTAGAAGCCCCGGAGGCTTCTATTATGGGGGGAGGTTTACTTAAAGTATTTTTCCCGTGTTTCACGAGTAAAAAACTAAGAAAAACACAGGAAAAAGGAGTTATTCTAGTTTAACACAGAAACATCCGTGTAAAAATAACATCGCTAACGCATGTGATATTTTCTTTCAGCTTTCTAATTTTTCCACGGTGTTTATCTTTCTTCATATGCTGTACTATCGAGTACCATCCTTTGTCCTCACAATCTAATTCGCCCGTTTTACACAATGTACATACGAATGTTGATTCCTTAGCACCTTGCTTTAACCATCATCTCACAGGAACTTCATCTAGTATTTTCTGTAACCACAAGTGATTGAATTGTGTTTCATATGATGGCATTGATAAAAAAATATATCTGAAACTACTTTCAGATCTAAAAGTTGCGTGAATTCTGATATTTTTGCTAAAAAATACCAGAAAAAGAGGAGAAAGGGGAGAGATCTTGGATTAAAGAGGAAAAGAGGAGCATTACAAACCCAGACAGTTTATGAATTTACGGTTACGTATTGTGCGTGCTCTTTTCTAAGAGTTTTGAAGAGAATTGAATGGAGAATCTTTTGAGATTAAGCTCAAGTCTCTACGATGAAAACTCAGCGAGATAATGACGAAATATTGGCGGTACCATTATTTATGTCGCATCCATTATTAGTAAACGAACTACATACTTTAATGCTTTTTCATATTCTTTACATGAGGCATATTCTTCAGCAAGATTGTACACTATAACAGAGAAACAAACAATAAATAGAATCAATGCAAACAACTTTTTATCTATCATACAAGCGTCAGCTTACTTAGATATAATTTCATTCGATTGGAAGAATGTTTTTTAAAATGTGTAATTGCTTGTACAAGTAATGATATGATAAGTTCCTAGTACAAATAATAAACCAAAATAATAGTTTTATTCTAATTAAAATACCGATGTAGTTTTATGTACCGAATGATCTTCTTTACTTTCAACATTTTGCAATGCTGCAATGCCTTCCTTTTCCTTTTGTGCATCAGCAATTTCTACACCTAAAAATAAATTAAATGATAAGCATTATTTGTGTTTTTTCTAACTTTGACTTTTCTGTTACTCTGATGATGTTGACGCCATGGTCGTTGTCCATAAAATTCAGGTGATTTCAAAAATTCACTTGGATCATAGTTTGATTGTTCAATACCACGACATAATGTATGAGCTAATTGTTTACGTGCCATTGCTTGATATGCTGCTTCTTGATAATAAAAACCGGGATGTTGAGTTTGAATTGCATGCGGACAACGTGTAAATAAATCAGCAAATATTTGAAATCTTGAAATAAGATAGAGAGACAGAATAAATCCAACAACAATCGATAAACAATCACATACTGTTTCGATAACCATGCTTTATGTTCAAATGAAAGTTCAACTGGTCCCATTTTGCTTTTGAATATATCTGAGTGACGACGAAAATGATTTATGGCTTCAACAGGTTGAGATAAATCGAATGATATTCGACAAATCTGAAATAATATGAAAATTCACTGTAGAAAAACATACTACAGTAGTAATTTGAATCATTAACTTTATTAGTATCAAAATGCCACTCCTCTTTTTTTGTGTAACTTCTCCCCTGAATTCCTCCGAAAGAGGAAGAACAAGAAGTAAAAGTTTGTACAGGAAGATTATGCTGGAGCTCCCATAACGCTTGCGGACGTACGCGACCCACGGACAATACCGAATATACATTGTATACGCGGACAAGCTAACGCAGACAAGCAAGTGGAATGATGACTGAATATACATCAGCACACTCCCAAGTACACATCTTAATCCAGTTAAAACAAATTGATGTAAGCGTACACACTCGAGGCATGGATTTCATACAGCCACACCTTAATCCTTCAGGTTTGAATGGCGATGTTACACTTTAGAGTCAAGGTCTGTGCTGATAAGTTTTTCTGCTAGTATGTGGTGCAAAATCGAATCGCTATCTTCGACGATGAACAACTATTTTCGCTTTTTTTCTACACCATTAGCAGAAATCTTACTTTATAGGTTAAAAATCCGGCGACCATTTTCATTTCCAGTATATTTGTATCATGTATTCTCACATTGTCTGTTAAATAACTATAGGCACTTTTATATGATCTAAAAGACAAACATCATTACAGTACTATCATCGAGAAGTTTGAGAATATAAGTAACATACTTGACAGCACTTGGAATATCCTGTTTTAATTCACCAAAAAATCCCATTTTAAATTGATGTCTTACATGAAGTAACTGATGTGTTAATTTATTTAACGTTTCTTTATGTTGTTTGACACGTTTGATTTCATTTGTGTAATAATTTTGACTCCATTCAATGAATGTTTGTTCTAACCTTGAAATAAACAACAAAATAGTCATTCCTCTAGATCTTCTCCCCTTTCTAGAAATTTTTTAATTTCAATATAACAGATTTCTTTCTAACGAAGCGTGTGAAAAGATTAATATTTTTTAAAATCAAAGTTCAGATGTGCAAAAATGATGTAATGGAGCCAAATATTTTATGTAAATTTTTGTTTCTTTAAAATAGAAAAATTATCTTGCACGTTTGTTCGGCTTTTATGAATAAAATGCTAATCACAATTAAACGAGTAGAAACAATCCGGTTCTGTTACGTCATTTTAAATGAGACAAATTAAAACTCATGCCGAGTTTTCTAGTTTTTATGAGAAATTTTCTTATCGATAAAGTCTCATTTTCACTAGTATTTTCACGACATCTTATTAACAATGATAAATGGAAGTTCAAAAATGCTCTGACCGCATATGAGATAGTTATTATATCTTGATTATTTGGTGGAGATGGGATCAATAGTTACCAAGATAGGTTTCTAACATGATAGAGAGGAAACTTTATTATACCTATCAATCCAAGCGTGTAGATTATCTGGTTGTGGTAAAACGGGTAAAACACATAGTGCACGTTTTGTTATATCAAAATAAGTACATAATGTATTTGCCTTTTGATCTCTTTCGGTACTATAAAGATCATCAACTACAAAAAATAATTAAAGATTAACAACAGATATACGTTTTTTAGATTAAAAATGCATACCTGTGGGAAAACTATCTTTGTTTTGCAATAAAACGACTGATATGACACTCGCACGATTATCAAGATTTGTTCTAAAATAGTGAGAATGGTAAAAATAAATTCTGTTTATAGATTTATTTATTACCGAACAACATCAATTTTTTCTTTGTATTCATTTTGTTTTTCTTGAAATAATGGATCATTCCAGTCTAATTCAAAAAATATTACAACTAAACTTGGTACCAAATTTAAATGTTTATTCATCCAATTTGTTTTGATAACACCTTTTGGCACGTACCATTCATAAGTGGCACGCTGAAAGAAATATGTAAAATATTTTCAAAATCAAATATTATTAATTTAGTTTATAACAAGTACCTTTGCTTTACAATGAGGATATTGTTCATTGATATCAACTAATTTATACCGTAATACAGATGTACTCGACTCTTTTCGACTATCAAATAAATCCCATATAGCACGATGAACAGCATCATGACGAACATCTAAATTAGCTATACAAACAAGACCACGAGGAATTATAGTTAATTCCTCGGGAATTTGAGTGGCCCATGACATGGTAGACAAAAAGGATCTGAAACATAAAATAGCAAAGTAGTTCAGAGCCGATAATTATTTCATAGAACGATTTATGTACTTCGTATAAAATGAAGATTGCACGGTTTATGCTGTGTTTGATATCAGTTAAGAAAAAAACTCTGAGAACGTATTCACCCATACAAGACGTTGAAGAAAGATGTATCCTATACTAGTGTTGATCGATCAAACCTGTGTATTTTGTAAACTTATTCTGCAAACGAACCATCCTCTAAAATATAAGAATACAACAGAATTTTTACAAAAAGACTTTTAATTCGTTTCCTACAACGCTTCTTGGCATGGCTGCGCAACAGATCGTCTGTCAATTAGACGTTCGGATTGGTTGAAAAGTTGCCATTTCATTTTCAACCAACCATAGGTACTATTTTCGACAGCGTCATCTAGCACTAGAAGGAAGTAATTCAAACAACGGAACAAACAGAATTAACTTTAATAATGACATCTTTCACACTGAATAATATTAACATGGTTCGCACATATATCTGTTTAGACGACAGACAAGAGATGCTGACTTTTTGCCATGGTAAGAATTTGACGAAACCTTTTCGCTGATTGTAATTGGTATTATATCACTTGAGACCTTCAGAAAATATTAGCATATGCAAGCAAAACAGATGTAGTTTGATTTATTTTACAGACAAGTTTGAAGAAAATTGTATTTGCAAAGTATTTATGAGCATCATGTAATAACTAGTATTAGGTCCGGCTAGTTACTGAGATATAAATAGATCTTTGATACGTACATTTATCACACTGTAGCAGATTACTGTGAAGTTTAGGAGAAAGAGCGTAGGGATTTTGAATGTTGTATACACTAACGGACAAACCACAGTTTGAAATATACGTCCACCATTTGTTATAGCTTAAAAATTATTTTATAACAGTGAATAGATCGATTACACCGTAAGGACGTTTCCTAATTCGAGACAGAATGGTTTACATATTGTAAAACTAGTATCTGACGAGTAGCACTTGTGTCCATTGTGGCTCGTTTGTGATGTTCGGACTAAGCTGTAGACAGACCCATTTCTAGATTCTTTTATCTACTCATGAAGTTGAATATCTGATTTTTCTCAATCCAAGTCATTAAAAATGAAGATTTCACATATAGAAAAATGTATGAATAATTCGAATTATTTATACATTTCAGTTGTAACGAAAAACTATTGTGTATAGTTCAATAATTAGTTTTAGAGTTTTATTTAGATTGTATTAATACAAAACACGCATTTATTACTACACTCTCCTCATTTATAGTGAATGATTTTTTGTCAACTTTTGATGAAAAAGTAGCAACATTTTTTAAATATCTCGCGATCAATAATAACAAAGAGTCTAATTTTATTAGCCATTAGTTTTATGAATATATTCTGAAAAAAATTATTTAGTTTTACTAAAAACTTTCGAATTTCTAAACGTGACCATCTGTTTCATGTAAATGCATTGCAACCGTCTATGATATGATTGGAACGATATTGATTAGTTACACTCGATAGCAAAGATTGATGGTCCAAAATTAGAATTGGTAGAAGAGACGATGAAGAAAGAAGAAAATTTATAAATGATATGTAAAAAATGTTTGATCCTTTTGGTAAAAATGATAGAATAGTTTACAGGTAGATGACAAACTTTCCAAAAGAGAAAACAAACATTTTAAATATGAAAATAATAATTGTATGATCTTAAAATTTTATTCCACTTTGTGATGTACGTTCGTGTATAACTTTTGCAAGTGGATTCTCTATTGGTTGATCCATAAATAAATCTGTCATTCGTCTTTCAATATGATTTCTTCGACGATAAATTAATGTTGTTGCTAGTGAAATACAAATAACAAGAAAAAGAGCACCACCAGACAATAAACCAATAAATGATAAATTCCATATACTTTTTGTTTTATCATCTGTTGTAGATTTACATTGTGATAGATTTAAATCACAAGAGGATCGTGTTAAATTTTTTAAACAATCTGGTATTGATCGAGAAGATAATTGATAATCTAAATTTTTTATATATGGTTCATATAAATAATCAACAATACAATTACATGGATGTTGAACATCAAGTTCAATAGATACCATTTGTCGATCTGTTTCAATATATGAACAAAAATTAGATTCATTTAATAAATAACCATGTAATTTAATATTAATTGTATGATTTGTTGGAGAATGTGAAACTATTTTTAATAATTCAATTATCATTTTTTCAGTTAAATTTGTATAAGATATATCAATTGATTTTAAATATTTCATATTTGATGGTATAGTATCGATTATTAATTGAGAATTGTTATTTATTATATAAGAATATTTGAAATCAATTGTTTCTAAATTGAATAATGTTGATAAAATATTTGGTTTTAAAAATGTATCTAAATGTTGATATTGTAAATATAAATGTTTTGTATATTCAAATGATTGAAAAAATTGTTGAGGATTAAATATTTCAATAATATTTGAACTTAAATCAAGATTAGTTAATTGCATTAAAACACCATCAACCATTTCAGATGATAAAAAATGTAATTGTGTATTATTTTTAATAATTAATTCTTTTAATTGTAATTCCCATGCTTGAAATGTATGTGTTGTAATTTGTGTTAAATTTGTTGATAATATTTGTAATTTAATTAAACTATTTAAAAATGTTGGAATATTATGTGATGAAAGTGATGATAATGAACAAGTATCAATTATTAATGAAAAAATATTTGTTGTTTTTGATGAATAACGTTGTTTTGATGTAGTTATAAAACCTTCTAAATTTGATTTTTGAAATAAAATTTCATTTATTGTTAAATTTTGACCAAAACAATTTGTATTAAATTCTTGTTTACCATTAAATTTTTTTATATTATGAAAATTAAGTTGATGTATTTTAATATTACTAAATGCATTTTCTAATATAATAATATTTGAATTATTTATATTTTGATTTGTATGATTGATATTAATTGTTAATGTTGAATCATTTGGTATGGTTATATTAGATGAAAATACTGTTTTATCAATTTTAAATATATCAACAAGTT